AAAACCCTGTTTTAATTTTCCATTTTCCCCCCCTACCCCCCCCCCCCAAAAAAAAGCATTGCATACCAGGCCTCAGATTCAGAATATGGAGGATTCGTGTGCCTTACCCAGCTGCGGACAACCTTTGCATCTTGTGGTGCCCATTCCCCTGTAGCGTGTACTACATCCAGTGTTAGAGAATAATGGCTGGGCCCATACCTAGCTCTGTGCGTATTTACCCAACATGACCGTTAACCTCTATGGCCAACCCTGGTGCACACAGGCTTGCTGAAATGGGAGCTAGAGATGATATAGGGTGCCATAAGGTGGAAAGGCTGCTCAGTGCTCGGTAGCTAAAACATATATATGCCTTAGATTTCAATCACCCCTAAATCGTAAGGCAAAAAGCAATATACACTAACCCATTGTATCCAAACAGAAATAATCTGTCATTATCCTTTTGCACTATACTACTGAAAGATGAAATAATTGATTGCTATGGGTCTTTACACTTTGTACCTGTCATTGTTTCTTGCACTGTTGGCCTTTTGAATACCTGGCCAGCACCTGCCAAGATGGTCCATATCTGTCAGATCAGACTGCTTGTCATTGAGTGATAGGATGTTGGGTGGCCTATTCTGCAATCCTATATGTATATCATTGTTCTTTTAGGATAAAATAACCGAGTATACCTATACAAAATGCCGATGCAGCCCATGTCACTTGTCAGACACGTCATATTTCTTTTGCAGGAATGCATTGCTTTCACAAAAGCCTCTCACTGTGCTGTTTGGGTTGGCCTCCTGTTTCTCAGATCTTGTTAACGTGAATGGTTGCGTAATGCTTGACCTTGAAATATTGCAGCAGAGCTATAACACTTGCCCATTGCTCAGCAGTTGTGCTGTTTGACGATGGGCTTGTGCATTGCAGATATCGCATCAGCTCTTGGCAGTGACCCATACCTAGGCATATGTAAAAAGTTACTAATCATTTTTTATTTATTTGCACAATCGAATTCGTAGACAGCTTTTCTCCCAATAGGATAGATTTTTTTTTTTTTTAACTAAGCACATCATTATTTTACAGAAAACAATTTTGTGCTGTTTAATATTACTGCTTGCTCAATTATGAAGATGACCAATCAAAACCATTACCAGCTCTCGGCTTATTATATATTTTATTACATAGTAGCTAATATGTACAGGTCATCTCAAATGCAATTAAGAATTCTTATTTTGCATCCTTTTTATGTTTTATATAGAACATGGTTCTTTGCTTTGTTGATGAAAAAGAATGTTTGGTATTTCTTTTATTTTTTTCCATCGATTTGAAATCAAGAGAATTCTGTTAGTATAATGTGTTTTATAGGTTATTACTAGCAGTGATGAAATAATGATGCTTTTGTATCACTGACATATCAGTTATATGGGGCCTTATGATGCAAAGTATTTTTTTGCTTCTAGAATTTCAACCAACTCGTTCCTTTTTATGTTTTTATTAACCCACTTTACATTGTACATGGGTAGATGATGATCTGGTTGTTATGGGCAATACATTCTATACAGTTTTGAGGTGAACGGAAGCTACATCTCCCCCAAAACATGGGCCATTGTAGCAGTGCATCACAAGCACCGCATAGAGGTGTATTCCTGGGACATAATGAGGCATTGATCCATACTTTGTGTGCATTACAGCCTGCAGTTAGTGTCGAGGTAAGGGTAGGAAGCTGTTTTCATGGATGCAAGGCACTGTTGGCTGTGAAGAATCATCATACTGCTCGTGTGACTGAGACTTGGCCTAGTAGTTGCCAAGTAGGGGAGTTATTTGCCATCTTCTAGTCAGCTGTTAGGACTATATCCTCGGGGTGGTACACCAGTGACGCATACCTATAGGTAATGCAAGTCTTCAGCTTTGCTGCAAAAAATACAGTGGAGTATGTGATTATTCAAACCCATTAATATTCTTTTTTTCTAAACAATACAAAATGTTCTGCCATCTACATACATTCCAGTTGAAATGACCTTTGCCATGTTATTGTAGTATGTGTGTACCAGGTACAGTTCAAATAGAGTAGTTATCATACTCGCGCAATTCAGCTTATTAGATGTGGTTATTTTTGACCATCCATTAAACATTAATAGCGTCTGCTTGAACATGTTCAGGTTAAAGTGAACCTGTCTT